AAGGAGCGAGAGAAAGGGTCCGCTATATGTAAGTCAGTAAGTAACATGAGTACAAAATAGTTAGAAGGCTGGTATCACTAGAGAAATTATTTGCAGTTTATAATTATATAAATCAAATATATTCAAAAAAATATATTCAATCCAGCAAATGGAAATTTAATTACTTTCAAAATATTTATGATATTTAATGGTTTACTTAATAATAAACCATTAATAGTTTTCTACATATTAAATTATTTTTTAGGTACCATCCCAAATGATGAAAATGAAATAATTCGTAAAGGTGCAAATAAATCTTTTAATTTTTTTATTATTTTTTGTGAAATATTTTCTTTTTAGAGCACATAATCCTATTTGAAATCCAATCAGTTTAATATTTTAATATTTAAGGCAATTAGTTATTGACTAAAAGAAAGCGACATCAAATTTAATGAATTTTTTAATTATTTTTTTAGTATTGAAAACTTGCAAATATTTTTGCAGATACAAATTAAAATGTCGTGACTCGTATTTTGAATGGAATTTAATATAATTCGAATATTACTCTTATCTAAAATTAATATATTTATTATAACTAAATTGTTAAGTTTTTTTCATACTCAATGACTGAATATTTTGTTAATATTATGTGTAAATAAAATATATTTTTGCACATTTAAATCAGTATATTTCAATCTTCATACATTGACCCAACATTCAAATGAATTTCTAACTCATTTGCCATACAAGTTGGTAGCATACTTAAATGGCGTTAACCATGTTCGTGTTCTTGCATGCATGTTTATGTCCCTTCGTGCCTTTTCCACTGCTATGTGACACTGCAACACTCAGTCAGCAATAATAATAAGTACAACAAGAATCCAAAATAACAACTCAAAACAAGTGATTATCGTCTTACGTCACGAATTACAAAACGTGACCAAAACCTCAGTTGAACGCCCCAAACCATTGAGCACACAAAGAGAGAAGATTAAAAAATAAAATAATAATAAAGAAAAATAGAAAAATAGAAAAATAGAGAAATAGAGCTCGTAGAATTTGAAAGACCAAAATTTCAAATTCTGCTTCCTTAACAGCATTAGCCTCGGAGTTAAGCCAATTTTAAGGTCACAGATACACTATAAGAAGAATAAGAAGAAAAGACAGCTCTTCTGTTAAGCTTATCTAAGTGTAAGATTCTAGTCAAATGGCGACAAAAATAAGGCGCTTCTTTTGGTGTTTATTAATTTGAATTTTGTTTCCATACTAAACATCACACGTTCTGGATACTTTTTTCGTATAACAAAGTGTAAGCAACAGCATGTGAAAAGGACTTAAAATCTCATAATCTTACATATGTAAAAATGTTTACATAAACACCAGTATCCATGCCAGCACGTGATTGAAAAATCATTAGTTCCACTGCAATCTACTGTACCATAGTCGAATGCAGTTCACACTGAGATGATGGTTTAAACACTTTTGTAGTCTAATACGTTTAGCAGATGTTCAGTATTAGAACAAATTCTCACTTCACAATGTTCAGTTATTTCTATATATATAATATAACAAAAAGGCATATAGTATATGTAATTAAAATAAATCAATATTTAAATAATTTTATTAAATTATTATTAATAAATAAATTTTGTTTAAATTGACACAAAAGTTGTACACAATTTAATATACATTAAATTAATATAATATTTATAAGAATAAGAGTTTTGTTTTTAACATAAGTCTAAGTCTTTGTTTTTAAAATTTAAAAATCTAGGTTAGTTAAGAGTGGCAGCTTTGTACCCAAGAAAGCCCACTTGAGTCCATTGTGGTTCCACAGAACAGATGTTTGTTCATACATAAAGTAAATGTCAGTATACGACCAATCGCCGAAAAAGGCAACGACTCCTTCATTAGGTAAATATAAACCAACTTGACAGTTCTATAAACTTGGCTGAGAGATAATAGCTCGGTCAGGTCGGTAAGAAAAGGGACCTCTAGGATTTTTGATGTTCTTCTAGCTAAAAATGGGTACTAACGCGCGTGATGGATAACAGTTTTTTTATATCCTTAAAGTCACAACCACGACAAAAGTCATTATAGGGTAAACCCAAACCCAGTTTTTGCATTAAAACCCTATTTTTTTGCAATAAATATGGCTTCAAGGATGGCATAAATATTGCCACCATTCTTCCAATGTTTCAAAAGTTGCTGGTTTGTTGGCATAAACTTAACGTAACCCCACATAACATAAAAAGTAATCGAGAGGCGTTAAATCGCACACGAAGGTGCCAGTTAACAGGACCACTTCTGGATAAAAGGTTGTTACCAAATTGATTTCTAAATAAATCGATTGTTAAACTCGCTGTATGACAAGTTACGCCGTCTTATTGGAATATAATATCGTCGTTATTTAACTGATTAATTTTTGGAAACAAAAATTCAGTCAGCATGGTTCGATAGCACTTTTCATTTACATTTCTTCTTTCCATAGAAATAAGGATCGATGATACCGCTAGTGTATACACCACACCAAACATTCAATTTTAATGGATGTAATTGTGATTCGTTAACTGCTTGAGGATTATCTTCGCTCCATATTACTTTATTGATATACCTATTTAACCAAAAAAGAGCTCAGTTACTAAACACAATTCTTCGATAGAAGTTCTCTATAAACTTTGTCATCAAATTAATTTTTTTCAAAGTAGATTTCCACAATTTGGAAGTGTTGTTCTATGTTAAATATTTCATGATGAATTCTCAAATCTTACTGAACAGAAGTGTCAACACAGTTTGACATTCTCAGTTGTATGTATCTATATCGATAGTTCTCCTCTTGCTAAAAAAACACCCGTCATTATGATATAAGAGATATTCATGAATATTTAATAATAATGATATATATTTTATTGAGTGACGATCTAAAAATATAAAAACAACTTTATTTCCCTTTTTTTTAAAATTTTAATACTTCTTTTTTTGTTTTTCATATTTAAAGATTGTTCTTTCTGGAGATTTTTTCCTTCCTTATGCTATATATCGCATTTTTTCTATAGTATAAAATTATTAATCAAATAAATAACATAAATTTTAAAATAGTTTATGAAGTGTCTATAATTTTTGCAGTTAGTCAGTTTTTTAGTAGCGGCAAACCATAAATAATTAATAGTTACTACTAGACTTTATAGTGCATTTTCTTTTAACAGTACAAACACGTGAAGTAAACTTATTTAATTTTTTGACATAATTTATTGCATTATATTTATATATTTTTATAACTTCACTTCTATGTAAAAATTATTGATTACACAACAAAAATCAATTACTAAGATTTTTTAAATTTTTAGCAAAAAAATCACAAGAAAATTCTCTTCTGTGCATATCGACCGAAACATTGTAATAGCCATGATTTTGGCATATTTATGTTCAACCTCAGGTTTTCAATTAGCCCTTTAACACCTACTTAATAATATATAGCCATATATTTTTATAGCTTTCAACGTTAAAAATAATTCCTTTAACTAAGTATTTGTTCAAGTATATTGGCTGTTGGGTTAAAACTTTAGAGATGCTTTCTTTGTGTTCAGAGTATTTCATCGAGATATTTTCACTGTTTATCTATGGAGCTAGTTGAAGTGCAATGAACTTAATAAAATGTTAAACTGAATATAGATTGCAAAAAATTTAAAATAAATAGTACAGTACCCATAAAAAAATAAGATGCTTTACATCTATCAAAAATTTCTAACTTCAGTACAATTTTAATTTTTTAGCTAAATTCTTATATACTAGAATTTCTAGATATAGACATAAGTCCACTAAACAACAAATAAAAAATAAACCTCAATAAATAATATTGTTTATAATTTTCATTAAGTTTTCAGTTTATGTTTGCATTTAATAATAGTTGAAGTTAATGTTCTAAACATGTCTAGATCATTAGGAGCAACATATTTCAGTTGAAGAACATTGTAGCCGCTTGTTTTAGAATTTTTCTTTTATTTTTTTTTTTTTTCTTATCGTTGGTTTACGATTCACTTTTCGCTGCTTTTATGGATCAACAAAACATTTGCTCCTACCAAAAACAGCTCAGCAATGATGCCATCAGCTGCAGTTCAGCATATTCACAGTATGAATGTGCCGATAAGCAACTGCTTTTCTCAGCGAAACTGCAATTTTGCATATATTTTCATGTTTTTATTTAAGTTACTGAACCATGGCAGCGTCAACCGACAGTGGACTTTTTTCCTGAATTACTGTTTTTTTTCTGTGTTTTATTTTGAAAAGTTCGAAATATTTCACTCCTGCTGTTGAGGTCTTGGCCTTTTTGTTACCATCGTGCTGCAAATTGTTTGACTATAATTTTTTTATATATAATTTTTTTCTAGATCTAGTCATGTTCACTTCTTAGTTGTGCAATCTTCTACTCTGCATAAATATTTCAAGATACAAAAAAGTAAATACTTAGTATGCAACTCACAAATAATTGTGACTCTAAGGAAGTTGACGTGAAATTGCGATTTTTTTTAGTTAAAAAATATGTTCAACGGTGTGAACATGAAAAATTGTTCTAAATTGTAATAGAAAACACAAAGTTACAAGCAAACTTACTTAATATATTTTTATTATCTTAATTTTGTTATCTTTAGAGCTTTATTAAGTTA